GAGCACAGGCGAGCCAGAGGGGCTGGTAGTGCTGCAGCTGGGCTGCCCTGCGTGGCCCCCACACACCTGGCCTTCTACCCTGCAGGCTCTCTCTGCCCTCAGGGACCTACAGTTCTCAGGCCCTGCCCTGGCACCCACCTCAGGGGCCATTCCCTGCAGACATTCCCCTGTGTCTGCTCACCAGCTTTCTCCCTCACCTTATGTGCCAAAGGCTTTAAATGGACTCACATCCGTTGACCCAGTAAATCCATGTCAAGGAATCTGCCTAAGAAAATAATTCAAACCATGCATGAAGATTTATATAAAGATGTTTAGCACAGTGTGGTTTAAAATCATGAAACATTACTGACAATCAAAAAAAACCAGCATGCCGGGCATGGTGGCTCATGCCTGTAATCTCAACAGTTTGGGAGTCTGAGGCTGGAGGATCACTCAAGCCCAGGAGTTGGAGATCAGCTGGGCAACATAGCAAGACCTTGTCTCTACAAAGATTAAAAATAAATTAGCTGAGTTCAGTGGCATGCACCTGTAGTCCCAGCTAGATGGGAGGCTGATGTGGGAGGATCACTTCAGCGCGGGAGGTTGAGGCTGCCATGAGCCATGACCATGCCACTCTAGCCTAGGCAACAGAGTGAGACCCTCAAAATAATAATAATAATAAAATAGTAAAATAATTTTTTTTACAAGACTAGCACTAGGAAAACATGGTGGGCCTTGGCTCTGATTTCAGATCACAGGAACTTGACAGAAATCTCTGAGGAGGGCCTGGACATTTGCCTTTTTAAAAGCTCCCCCCCCCCCCCACCCCTCATTCCCCTGTGCTTCTAATCCATGGCCAGGGTTGGTAACCACAAGGGTCACCTGATAGGCTCTGCTCAGCCACTGTCAATGATGTCTAAAAGGAGATTCTATGTGGTGTGAAAAATGCTTACACAAACTAAAAGGCAAAAAAAATTATTAATAACTAGGATACTGGATTGCTTTCTCAGGCATATCTCATCTGCCTACAAGAAAGTTAAAAAACCAAAATCCCAAAATGGAAAAACAAAAGAAACGAAAAATTCTAGAACCTAGATGGAAACCTGCCACAGCTGTATCTCACCTACCTCGTGACGATAGGATTATGAGTGGTGCTTTCTCATTTCTAGTCCTGTTACTCCAAACATTTTTTTACAAAGAACAGGTGTTCTTTTATTTTTTTGAGACCGAGTCTTGCTCTGTCACCAGGCTGGAATAAAGTGGCGTGATCTTGGCTCACTGCAACCTCTGCCTCCCGGGCTCAAGTGATTCTCCTGCCTCAGCCTACTGAGTAGCTGGGACTACAGGCGCGCGCCACCATGCCCAACTAATTTTTGTATTTTTAATAGAGACGGCGTTTCACCATGTTGGCCAGGATGTTCTCGATCTCTTGACCTTGTGATCCACCTGCCTCGGCCTCCCAAAGTGTTGGGATTACAGGTGTGAGCTACTGCGTCCAGCCTACAAAGAGCAGGTCCTATTTTTATAACCAGAGAAACAACTGAAAGACAAGCGGCCGTGGGGAGGGAGTCAGCACTGTGTTGCATGCACCCTGGTAGGCTAACTCAAGGCACCATCCTCCCCACTGATGCAGCCAATGCCTCCTCCCTATTTCTCGGGCTCACATGTACTTTGCAGTCATTATTTTAAACTAATCCCCTAAACATTTTTAAGAGACAGGTTCTCACTCTGTTGCCCAGGCTGGAATGCAGTGACACCATCTTGGCTTACTGCAGCCTTGAACTCCTGGGCTGAAGCAATCCTCCTGTTTCAGCCTCCCAAGTAGCTGTGACCACAGGCACGTGATACCACACCCACCTAATTTATTTTTTGTGGAGATTGGGTCTCTATATATTGCCCAGGCTGGTCTTGAACGTGCCACCATGCCTGGCTGCCCCAAGCAATCTTACGTGGGGAATGTTGTCACCTCATATTTTAGAAGGGGAGAATTTGCCAAAACTAAATCTATAGTTTAAAAACCATCTAGGTGACTTGGTGATGACCTTGGCTTGAAGCTTGGTTGGAAAATTCCAGGTCTTCTGGTTTCCTTCTCCACCTTACGGAAAAAAGCCATTGTAGGACAGATGAATGGGACTGAAAGGCTGACAGGTCTGCCATATTTCATTGATTCTAAGATGAAAATTACTTCCCATTGTAACATTTCTGAAATCTGGATGTGTCTTATAATCGGTGGCATCCTTCAGTTATAATTGGCACCACTCTTTTCCCTTTCTTAATGGTACATAAACTAATAATACATCTTATGACTGAATAGCAGCTTACATTCAAGGACAAGTGCCATGTCTCCATCTAAACTCATCATGTTATCTCTAAGGTGATAGTTTTAATGGCTACATAATATTCTATCATAAGATGGACTTTAATTTATTTCACTAGTTACCTAATATGGATACTCAGCATACTCCAGAGTTTTACCATAGGGAATGCTGCTACTGTGAACACCCTGGTATTAAGCATTCCGTTTGTCTTCAAGGGGTGTCTTCATCCTCTCCTAGGCTCCAAATCTTGGGAGACATTTTGACACTTCTTGCTGTTCATCTCCCATATTTGATTTATTGCTGAATCTTGCTACTTCTTTCATGGTCCCTGTTTCTGGTTGAGCTACCCAGGGCTCTATTCTGAGTTCCCGTAACACTCCTCTAACTGGTTTCTCTGCCTCCAGCTCTCCTTTCAGCCCATCACTGTACTACTGCTCAAAGGTAACTTCAGTCATGTCACCTTTCTGCTCAAAAACTTACACTCCTCACAGGGTCAAGTTCACTCTCTTAGTGTAGCATCCAAGGCTCTGCCAAATTTGGCTCTATCCTCTCCTGCAGCCCCATCTCCCCACCCAATCGCTTCAAACAAAATGGTCCACTCACTGGCTATGAGGGAACCTGCCTCCAAGCCTTTGCTTCCTCAGTTACCTCCACCCCCACTCTAGGAAGGGATGCTCCTTTCTCTTTTTCCAAACCTTACTCATCAGACCCAGTTCAAGTTTCACCTTCCTGATGAAATGTGTTATGGCTCAGTAGATCCTCAGGAAGGATAGGCAGAGGCTTAGCCTCATTTCACAGGTGAAGAAACTGAAGTTTAAATGGATTAAGTGGCTTGCTCAACTTTTAGACAGCTAAGAAGTGCAGAGCCAGGCTTGAAACTCCAGGGCTTCTGTCCTTAAATCCAGTGCCTTCCAGCGCCATGTGCAAGTACGACGATAAACTCCTCCCGTGGAGCAGCCCGTGCCCAGATCCTGCAGCAGCAATATGCCCCGAGCTTCAGCTGCCTTTGGATTCCAGATGCACACATGCCAACAATGAGATCATTGCAAGAGTGAAAATACTTCAAGTCTGTCCGTTCCCAGCAACCCAAGCAAAGGATTGGGCCAGTTGTCCTATTCATTCCCATTTTAAACGGGGGAAGACAACAGTATTTTCCTTGAATTGTGCCAGCTGTCACTGCTTTGACCCTGATTGGTTTGGCTGGACCAAGATCGTGACAAGTAATCAGAGCCACGTCACTCTGACACTAGCAGGACACTATCAAGAACTGGCTTTAAGCTGAAGGGCTTTCAAAAAATCTAAGGGAAATACATCTCAGGAAGCAAAAAGAGAGTGCACCCCTTCTGCTATGTGAGCACACAGTGACGATGACACTGTCCAAAGCTCAGGCAGCCTAGAGAGTAAGGCCTAAGTGCCAGACGGATAAAAAGGAGGAGGAGGGTGGGGTTAGGACGCTGCTTCCTGAGCACCCACTGCCCTGGCCACTTCACAGAGAGCAGGTCCTGGATGACGGGGAAACAAGGTGTTTGCTGTTATTCTTTGTGTTTTACTTGAATACACGACAGAGTCAGAGCAGTAAAGACACTTATCAATGTGTAATTGTGGCTTATGAGGAAGTGTGACCCCTGCTCATGCTCAGAATTTCTACAGAGAATACATTGCCTCACATCCCCTCAACTTTTGTCATTTGATCTAATTAAATGCTACAGGTTAAAGTAAAAATAGAAACAAACAGCCCCGGCCTATGGGCAGTGCAGCCAGTGTCCCTCACATCCGACTCCAATTCCGACTCCAATTCCAACTCCGACGAGGCTGGGTGTGACAGTGTCACTCACCCGCTCGAGACGAAGGCAGCCCTGTGCTCTTGGGAGAACAGACCTGTCAGCAGGGTTTCCCTCCAACATTCTCCCCTCTACAGGGTGACCCAGGTCCCTAGGCCAATTCCTGCATTCTCCTCAGCCAGAAGGCCAAGAGTAGGCCGAGGAGAGAAACAGCAAGCAAGAGTTTCTCTCTGAAGCTAAGAGGACTGTTACTGTCCTTGGTTTCAGAGAAGACCTGGTGTCTTCACATCCTTGCAATCACGAGTCACCTCATGAGGCAGGCAGGGGAAGGGGGAAGGGCCAGAGGTGGGCGAAGTCACTTCCCGGTCCTCACTGTGACCACTAACACCAAGAACCCTCGCAGGAGCCATGAGGCATGAGACCCAGGAGGCTCTGCTTTCTCAAGCGTGGAGGGGCGGTCCCTCGAAAGAACAAGGGTGGAGAGGCCCAGTGGGAAAGCAGGGGCTCTGGGGCCATCTGGCTTTTCCGGGCTAAGTTGTTTCTCTTCCCTGAGCTTTGGCTCCCTCATTTGTAAAGTGGAGCTGATCATCTCTGCTGCACAGGTGCACTGTGAAGCCCCAAGGAAAGCAGGTGAGTGTGAGGGGACTGGCGCTGGATCTGACACACGGCTGGGGCTTACTGTCTAGGGTGGTGCACAGGGCGTAATAGCCCCTGGAGCAGCCAGGGTCTCACATATGATAGCACAGCCTCCTTGTGCTGAGAGGTATGGCAAGGGGAGTACACTGTCCCCCAGCACAAACACACACATGCTTTTCTAGGTGAATCCGAAAACCAGAAGGATCATGGCATTTCTTGTGGCCCCTGAGGTATGCTTCTCAGCCCTGATCAAACACAGGCTCTGTGACATGCTACGGCTACTCACCGGCTCGATTTTCAGAGCGTTTCGGTAGCTACCGAAGAAAGCGGCCTGGGCCTTGAGGAACGCTCTGGCCACACCATCCCCAGTGGTTGTGGAGACCTTTTTCAGCCTGTTCTTCAGGGAAGAGATCTGGTGATGGAGAGAAAGAAAACACAGGTTGAGGACAGGGTCAAAGTGGGGTGGCTAAGTTCACTATATATGGAGCCCTGGAAGATCCTACGGATGGCAGGATCCGTTTGATACCTCAGTTACTGGAAGGACAAAAATGTGTTCAGGTCGGGTGCGGTGGCACACGCCTGTAATCCCAGCTACTTGGGATGCTGAGGCAGGAGAATCACTTGAATCCGGGGGGCAGAGGCTGCAGTGAGCCGAGATCACGCCATTGCACTCCAGCCTGGGCAACAGAGTGAAACTCAGTCTCAAAAAAAAAAAAAAAAAAAAAAAAGTGTTCAGAATTAGGGCATCTTTTTGAAATTTAAATGAATGTTGTTCCTATTAGAACATGTCTAATAAAAACAAAAACCATTTTTAATGACTTACTCCATGCCAGGTAAGCACTTTTGCATATATTTTACAATTTAGTTAATTTAACAATCCGGTGAGGAAGGGATTAATGTTCCCATCTTACAAGGGTAAAACAGCCTCAGGGAGGCTAGGCTACATACCTAGGAACAAACTCAAGACATGGCCACATTCCAATCAAAGTCTTGTAGTCTGAGCCCAAACTCAGACTTTCAGTTCTTATTCTATACCCTCTTAAAGCTACTTACAAATGTTAGAATAAAGGCTTATTTATATTTCTCACACATAATACTCTAAAGGAAGTGTGGCAGCTTATACTAACAGACACATACTCAAGAGGTTAAAACAAAATATTTGGAAGGGATGATAATGGGCAAAGAAGCAGGTAATAGATTTGGTATATAAATGTAAGCCATCAGGTCTTATATGGTGGCTAGAAATGGGCTTGAATTTGACTTAAAAGTCTCCCAGGAGCCAAAGCAAAGAGGGAAATATGAAGGCTGTGAGATTTCACAGGTCCATGTACTACAAACAAACCCGTTGGTCAAATGAATAAAGATTCTCCTGAAAGTGAGACATAAAAAACAATGTAGGAAAGACTGTGTGACATGGTGGCTGTTGCCCTCAACATCAAGCTTCCTGGACTATTTCTAACACGCGTTTCATTCATCTCAAGGTGCCACGCTTCACAGCACACCTTTCATGCTGCGTTCCACATAAGAGGAGCCCCTGGAACTGTGCAACGTGGTGACCCTGAGTTATTCATTCACTCAACAAGTATTTATTATTTCCTGTGTACCTAGGACTATGTTGGGCGTTGGGAATACAAGGGATACAATGAAACTACACAGGGGTCTTGCCCTCATTCAGCTGACATTCTAGTGAGAAAAACAGGAATGCATGTGGCATTGCTACTGTGACAAGCCTGTAATAGAGCTTGTCTAGGGGGTCAAGGAAGGCTTCCTGGAGGGCAACAGGCTTGCACTAAGATCTGAAGGATGGGTGAGCGTGGTTAACTCAGCAAAGAGGGGAGAGCACCACATGCTAAGTATGGGGAGTGGCGTGCAAAGGCCCTGCAGTGCAGAAGAGTTCAGGGAACAGAAAGAACCCTGGCTTCAGTGGAGAAAATGAGGGGAATATGGCTTGAAATGAGGCTGGAGAGAAAGGCAGGGGCCTGAAGGGATTTTTTTCCTTCATCTTAAGAGAGAAACAGAAAACTAATGATTGGTTTTAAGCATTCAAGTAACATATCAAGAGCACGTTTCATGGAAACTAATTCTGTAAGAGACCAGCTACTGGTAGGACATTATTTAAAGAAAAAACTTAGGGTACAATAGAAAATTAGATTTAGGTGATCCATGAATCTTTTACAGATTTTAATACGAATGAGTGAAGATTATTTTTCTGGGTACAGGATCCACAGCTTTCCCCAGAATCTTAAAGGTGCCTGTGACCCCAGAAATATTAAGAATCACTTGCTGAGAAGTCTGGGAAAAGAAATCTGATCCGGGAAGGACTAGACAGACTTTAGAAATGATCCATGCACATTATGTCTTGTTCCCAAGCTTCTGAGAGGAAAAATTTTTAATAGCTTATTGAGACATAGTTCACATATAAAATTCATTCATTTAAAGTACACACTTTGGTGGTTTTTAGTATAGTCACAAGGCTGTACAACCATCACTACTAACTCCAGAACATTTTTTATCATCCCCGAAAGAAACCTCATACTCATTAGCTGTCACTCCCCATTCCCTACCAATTTCAACCCCACACCAGACCCAAGCAACCACTTACCTTCCTCCTGTCTCTACAGGTTTGCCTACTCTGGACATTTCATATAAATGGAATTAACAATAGGTAGTATTTTGCCATCAGATTATTTCCCTTAGCACAATGCTTTATGAACGAGGAGCGTCCATGTTGTAGCATGTGTCAAGACTTCATACTTTTTATGGCTAAATAATATTTCACTGTATGGAGAGACCACATTTTATCAATCTGTTCATCAGCAGATGGACATTTGGGCTGTTTCTACTTCTTGGCTGCTATGCATAATGCTGCTATGAAGATTCATGTACAAGTTTTTGTGTGGAGACAACAGAAATTTCGAGGTAACAATCTGAAAAGCAAAAATCCTCCACCAGACCTTATGCAATGAAGACAAGCTGGAAAGATACACAAAGTCACCAAGCAGTGCTCAGTGTATACGAAGCCATTCATAAATGTGAACTGTTTATAGGAAAAAAATCCTTTGCTATTGATAAAGGGCATGCCTCACGTTTGGATGCTAAACTGAGTGAAGATGGGACTGATACCCTCCTCTGATAAGTTAGAAGCCAAGGGGACGTGCCCAGCACTTTGGGAAGCTGAGACAGGAGGATGGCTTGAAGCCAGGAGTTCAAAACCAGCTTGGGCAACACAGTGAGATCCCATCTCTATAAAAAAAATATATAAAAAGATTTAGCCAGCCATGGTGGCACATGCCTGTAGTCTCAGCTACTTAGAAGGCTGAGGTGGGAGGACTGCTTGAGCCCAGGAGTTCAAGGTTGCAATGAGCTATGATTGCACCGTAGCACTCCAGCCTGGGTGACAGAGCAAGACCCTGTCTCAAAAAAAAAAAAAAGAAAAAAGAAAAAGTAAAAAGCCTTGGGAACATACACTGAGGGGGTAGTTACCCCACCTCTACTTCAAGAGGGGACCATGGAAAACAATCTTCATTTGGAAGCAGTTTGAAGTCTATCTCAACATCTGGGTATCTACAACTGGTTTATTATGACCCTCCCTTATCAGGGACACATGAGCCCCAGCCCCACAGTGGTGAGAGCCCCCGAGGAGCAATGCAGGCCATTCAGCACCTAGGCTGACTCTGCCGTGGACTTCCACTTCCAAAGAGAAGTACGAAAAAGAAGCATGCTCTATTAACATGCTAAAAATACTACCCACTCCCTGCCCCCAAAATAAAAATAAAAATCCTGCCCCTCCCAGGGACTACAGTGACATTTCCATCCTTTGAAATGGTACAAGCCGCTGTCGCTCTCCTTCTGGCTCCTCAAAGGCCTTGGGCCACCTGTGCCGCAGATTATTCCTCACTTAACCTTCCCTGGCCTTTCTCTTTCATTCGGGAGGTGTTTAATTACCTTGGATTCACAACGCTGCACTTCAGGTGAGCCTCTCCTAATGGCCTTATTACCATTTTACACAAAGAAGGAGTCGTTGATTGTAACTGAGCAAATGCTAGCGTGTTCCTTCCTGCCTGCCCCAGCTGGTCTAAAACTAGCCAAGTGGTCCTGGGCTCCTGGTGCCCCTGTGACCACTTAGGCCAAGAATTCTGAAGACCTCCTCTCACCCTGCAACATGGAGAAGCTTTTGTCTTGATCTGCCAGCACCTCAAACTTTGAAACTGCAAGTATCTGTGCATCTGATCGCTGGGGAGTAGCATTTGTCCTTTAAATACAAATGAGGGAAGAAAATTTAAGGTGTAAATAACACAGAGTCATATATCTAAAGCTGAATTTGCCCTCAGTACCCCTAGGGGTGCTGGTCAAATCATTAACATTGGGATTCATCTGGGGTAATTTGGGTGTGTTGTAAGTGCCGGTGAGGGTGGCTTCCTCCTTTAATCAGGTGTTATAGGAGGAAGACAAAGCAAAGGAAAGGGGGGGCAAAACTGAACTCACCAGCTTCTGTCTAAAGTGCCCTTTCCTCTCTGTGTGCCATCTTGGTTACCACAGCATCATTCGGCCAGTCTCCTGGGCCAGGTGTCAGATGTCAGATTCCCTACTTCCCACAAACATTCTCCACATGTCATCAACACCAACCCAGATATGCCCTGAATCCACTCTCTCCTCTCAGTGCCCATGACACTGCCCTGTAAGTTCGGCTCCATCACCCTCTCTGGCCCAGATTAGTGGAACAGTTTCCTTGGTGGGCCTTTCTTTGCCTTCAGTTTCTCAATGCCATCCACCCATATCTGTCCTAGTAATCTTGGAAAAATCCAAATCCAATCACTTTGATTCTCCATCAAAACCCTTCAGTGTCCCCGCCCTTCACCGTCATCTCCTTCAGAAAAACATCCAAACTTCCACGAGCAGTCTGTGCAGGCTGTCGTCGATCAGCCTCACTTCCACCTGCCCTACTTAATGTTAAACTTGGATATCCAGAAGCACAGGCTACTCTCCAGCCCACTTCCATCTCAGTAGCTCAGTCCTGGTTGTCTCTTGTCCCTTCCTGTCCTGCTTGTGAACATCTATTCAACTTCTGAAAGACCATCCAAGTATCCATCATCTGGGGCCTCTGAAATACATTATCCCACATCCTCACCAGGAAATCCCACATAGCTGCTAAAAAGGACATGGCAGTACTCTACGAACTGACACAAAAAGATGTCCGTGAAATACTGTCGAGTGGGGAAAAAACATGCAGGTTGCAGAGTAACATGTACAGCATGAATCATTTTAAAATTATATATAAATATATATGCAGTAAAAATCTAAAATGCTACATTACCAAACTTTAACCATGCAAGGATGCTTTCACTTTCTATTTTACACACTTGATTGTTTTGATTATCCTTTAAGAAAAAGCATATGTTACTTTTATAATAA